GCCACGATGGTGAGCATTGTCCTTCCCCCTTCCCTGTACCCCTTCCCTCCCCCCTTCCCTATCCCCTTTCCCTCTCCCTATCCCCCATTTCTATGTACCCCATTCCCTCTCCCTTCCCCCCATTTCCATGTACCCCATTCCTTTCCCCTCCCCCTCCCCCTGTCCCTCCTATCCCTTCCCCCCCTGTCCCTGTCCCTTCCCCCTTCCTTTTCCCTGTCCTTTCCCTGTCCACCCCCATTTCCTTCTACCCCCTTCCCTAGTAAAATACTTTTTGTATATAATTATGTCTATAGTTATCAATATAATATTCTATGTTCAAATATCAGCTTTGTATGAACTTTTAAGGTGGCATAAGGTAGAAAGTGGTTACTCCAGTAGGAATCCAGTAGGAATCCCATCTCTGAAACATTGCATTCACTTTGTTTAAGTTCAATTGGAGTCCAGTAGGAGTCCAGTAGGAGTCCAGTAGGAGTTCAGTAGGAGGGGGAATTAAGACATATGTGAAAATGCTTTTCTGGAAAGAATGTTAAAATCCAGTAGGAATCCAGTAGGAATCCAGTAGGAATCCAGGAGTCCAGTAGGAATAGGTGGAGGAGTGATAAGTATTGCCTGCTCCCCCTATGCAACACTCTGCTCGCCGCCAGTGCCGTCGCCAGCAATCTATCATCATGATATCATCTGGCTCTGATGTCTCATCCTCCTCGATATCCTCCTCGATACCAACAACAAAAATAGAGACGAAGTCAAATGACATCATAGATCTCTCCTCTAGCCCCAAGGACCGCAAACCTCTCTCTCAAATCACAAAACTCAAATTCTTCCCTGCTCAGCTGTGTCACATCCTGAAACGTGAACAGGATGTGATAGATCTCTGCAGTCCACTTAGTGTTGCCGAAGTTCAGTTCAGTCCAGTTCAGACCCCCTTTGGTCCGAACCTGAACCTGAACCTCCTACAAATTTTCCGAACCTGAACTGAACCCAAACTGTGTGTTCAGTTCAGGTTCAAACCTTCTGAACCTTGTAATTTTTTAAAACCAATTTTTTCAATTTTTTTTTGTGTCCAAATGCTTCGAAACACATGTGTAATCTCTAAAAATCAGTTATTTATGCAATGCCGTGGCACAAACCAGTTTGATAAGCCAAATAGATATTATACTGTATACAACATTGAACAGACCCCAACAAGTGCACGTGTGGGAAAGCAACCCAAAATATGGCCATCAACCATCACCCAGATGAAGGATTGATACTTTACATTTAAATACTGTAGTTGTTACAGATCACGATAGTTTTGAATGAAAAAAATGCAAAAAAAATGTCCAAAACAGAGGGAAAGTGGGCCCCCCAGTGGCTAAATGTTTGGAGGTTCGGTTCAGTCCGAACCTGTTCTCCAGAAATTTTCTGGAGCCCGAACCTGAACCTGAACTTGAACCGAACTTTGCATTCAGTTCAGAGGGTTCGGGTTTGAACCGAAGTTCTGGACTGAACTTCAGCAACGCTAAGTCCACTGTCTAAGGGGTGTCTCACAGAAACTGCTGCTCAGCCGGCATCGCGGTTAGTGCAGCTGGCCCCTGGAATTGTTTGCAAAGGTAGTGTCTTTGACACCTGGGAGGATGCTCGTGAGGCTATATATGCCTGCAAAGCATGACTTGGACACTGTTGGCACATTGCTCAGGGAAAGATTGATATACATGGAAATAGGAAGAAAGTCACCTTCC